CTCAGCTGCCCATACATTAGGCCCAGTGTATTTCCTGGAGTCCCCAGGTAGGGTTGCCAGGTCGAACAAACAAAAACACAGAACACCCAGTTAAGTTTGAATTTCATGGGAAAAACAAATAACTTTTTTAGTACAAATGTGTCCCAAATATTGCATGTCCCAAATATACTTTTAAAAGCTATTTGCTTTCTCTCTGAATTTCCAATTTAACTGGGTGTCCTGTATTTTATCTGGCAACAGTACCCAACAAGGGGAATGCCAGGCCCTCTCTATCTGCCTGAAGCCAGCCGGCCCGTCCAAGCCGAGTCTCCCTTTCTCCTCTGCCATCCTCCTCGGAGGCAGCACTGCACAAGGCACAGAGCCCTGGGGTGTTTCATCCCTCACTGGCTCTGACTTAGCAAGTGACTTAGCCTCCACAAACCTTGGTTTCCCATCTGAGAACAGGGTGGTCATGAGGATTAAATGGTAGAACACATATAAAAGACCATACCCACCTGACCTGAAGCAGACCCTCTACACAGATAAATTGGCCGGTGCCTCAGCACCCTGTGACTTTGCGATTTAATCTGTGTATACCCTGTTGAGTGTAGTGGCCAGAAATTAACACAACAGGGTGGTCTGCCCCAAGAAGAGAGGAAAAGTAGAGCCTGACTCATCCCAGGCAACACAAGTTACTAACCCTTCCACTTTAGAGGCAAGCGAGGCACAGACTGTGCCGAGTCCTGAGTCCACTGGACTTGTCCCTCCACAACAGTGACACTCAGTGGAGTCCAACCTCACTGGTGACAGCTGCAGACCTTTTCTAACAGAGGGCTGGGGGGCCAGTGTGGGCTGGGGAGCGATACAGAGACGGGAGCCCGGTACACAGTGGGTGATATGCAGCCTGAACAGAGAGGCACTCGCCCCTGTGCGCTGGTTCTCAGGGAGATGTAGAGGCTGAGGAGGAGGGTCTGGTGTTGAGTGGCCGGGAGCTTGCTATCCACTCTTTGCTAAGTGCTGTGGACAGTGAACACAGACGAGGGGAGCCACCTGGGTTCCCCCATTCACACGCAGACACACTGCCTCTGCAGAGCAGTGAGCAGGAGAGCCTCTGGGCACTGCCTACGCTCAGCTTCCTGGTCTGTTCATACCTAGGGTACCTCCTGGGCTTCCACCATCCCTGGCATTAAGAGATTTTTATGATTTAACTTGCTAGTGGGAAGTAGTCTTTTGAAGGGATCTAATTTGAGTCCTCCCACTGAGCTTACCTCTAGATAAAAATAAGGAGATAATGAATAAACAACTTACATGAAAATGAAGACCACAACACCTGCTCTCCAGGAAGCCAGGTGGCTTAGGGGTAGGATTTCTACACCTGGGCTAGATGAAATGTGAGACTTGCACTATCCTATCCTAAAGCCACGCCCGCCTCCCCAAGTCTTGGATTTCCATTTGAAATCAGGAGCACCCAGCCATGGCAACACAGTCAAGAGGAGGCTGCAAGGCTCCCACCTTCTTCTCATCCCCCCATGGCCTCCCGGACCAGGCTGGGAGGGCGCCCAGGGCACATGAGGACTCTGCTGGGGGCTGCAGATTTGGAAAGCCTCACATGCATAAACCCTAGCCCCTATCAAAAACCATCTCTTGAGAAGAGTATAAATCCCAGGCCCTCCCTTCAATACAGCTACCAGGGGAGGCAGGGGCCTGCCAGTGACCCTGTGTCCTGCTGGAGGGCGCCTGGCTGGCCACAGCGCCTGCGTTCAGGAAGCCCTGGAGGTGGCACTCTCTCATGGCACCTAAGCTTCTGGAAATTCGAGGTCAGCAGGGCCTGCTCCCGCCCCATGTCCCACGTCCTATGCGCAGCAGAGGAAGAGTCAGCTTTCCCTGCAGCACTTCCTTCACTGCACCCATCACAGCCCAAATGCCTTCCCTGGTTCACCATGTGCTTTCCCGAGTAGAATGTAAGCAACGACTGGAAGAGTGGCGCATGCACGGTGAGTCAACCGTCATTCTTTGTGGAATGAATGGCGACATCAACCAAGAACCTTCTCAGGAAAACTTAGGAGAGTGGAAAGGCACTTTAGAAGACACCTTGCCCAACCCTCTACCTGAGAGTTTCCAAATTAAAGTCTTTAAATAAATATGAGGCCCCCTGTCAAACTTAAAATATTTCTCCAGTCTCCATATGACAGCAGTTATAAATTTAATATCCATTAACTGAGATTAGAAAATAACCAAAGCTACTAGGGCTTCAGGATTACTTGAAAATAAAACTGTAAGTCGTGGCACTTACATACATTTGAATAGGCATACAACTTAAAACATAATGACTGGGGGGTTAAGAAATCCTGCTGAAATCCAAAAAAAAATTTGTTTTAATTTTAAATAAAATTCTATGCTGGAAGGTGTACCAATGACATAGATCCAAAGTGTCAAGATATATCAGTAAACAACAAACGGAAAGCTGCAGAACTGAATGCATGATCTTATTTGTTAAGAAAAATTACATATATGTGTGAACATATGTGATATACACATGTAAACACATACATGCATGTAATGCACAGAATAAAATCTTGAGAGGATGAGTAGAGTCATTTTTTTGCTTGATAAAATTTTGTATTTTAAAAACATTTTTGCAATAAGCACAAATCTATTTTACAATGAAAACCAATNAGTCAAGAAAGGCTAGGCTATGTTGTGGGCCTGACAACAAAGGGTTCTCTCTCTGAGTTCACTGCACATTGAGGGGCTGACATCGCCCTCACCAGGAACCCACCTGGGGGGCCCTCTCCATGCTAACCTGAGTGGGAAAGGGGGCGTGGGGCCAAGTGTGCGCAAGCTCTGAAGTCCCCCCCTGGAGTGGTCCATGCCACTGTGCTCCCGTCCACTGCCACAGCTATCACATGGCCACACGGAACATCAAAGGGCACGAGGAATCACCACTCACCTCACAGGGCAGCAAGGCTTGCCGAGCAGCACTCAGACCTACCACAGGTCTCTTCTCAGGTTGAAAACCCTAAATAAAGCTTCTCATCCTTCTCCATAGGTTTTCCCTTCTTTCCCTCTAATTTTTTGCTCCCCTTCACAAAACGCTCTGAGTGTCTATACTTCTCCGAAAACATGCAGCATAAAATTTGCCACATCAAAGCAAAATAACACCTCATTTATCAGGTACCACTGAGGAGTGAGATGCTCTTTAGAGGCTATACTGCCAGGAAATATTACAACTCAAACACACACCTAACGTAATTATTTTTGGTGGAAGTCTCATAATTACCTGTTCTCCTACTTCTTAAAGCAACATCAACCATTAACAATGCAACCTCACGATCTGACTTTTAAGTACCTTCATTTCCAGGAGGTGACATTTAAAGGAGTCATGAATAAAATGTGTGGACTTTTAGTAATACGGATTTCATATTCTTAGCAGCCCTTTCAATTTCCTAGCTTTGTTCTACACTTGGGGTTCTCCACTGGGCCCCACTCCTAGATTCTAAGTCACTAAGGTCTATAAAGCCCCCCTCTGACTCTGAGGTACCAGGGGAGGAGAACCACTGCTCTCTTAATAAGGGGCCTCCATTCACGGGAACACATAACTGTGCTGGAGCCGTGGAAGAAATGTCAAACTGTCAAGCTGAGATCACAGTCTTCAATTCCAACAACCCTCCAAGATTGGGCCCTTGCTGTCCTCACAGAGGCCCTGGTCCCCGGGGTGAGCAATGATTGTCTGTGATGCCCCTGGCCACCCTGGATACCTGTAGGTGCGACACCACCTTCCCAAGGCTGTGAGACCCTCAGGTTCTCACAAAGGACCATGCAAGATGAAGGGGTACTTGTGATGACAGCCCATCGGGGCCCCAAGCACTGAAGGCCTGATAACTGTTACCAAGTGGCAACTGTGGAGCTGAGAACCAGCCCTTAGGGCTCATTTCAGTGCCACCCTCTTCTGCCTGCAGATCTGCCTTCAAACCATGTTATTCCTCAAGACAGAGAGACTGGGAGCAGGAGGTGGGGGGGGGGGCACCGGGCAGCCCTCAGCACCGCAGGGAGCTCTGGGGCGGAGCAGGGCCTGCAGCCTGTGGTCATATAGATGGCTCAGGCTGCACAGCTGCCAGGAGGAAACTGGGAAAACTGCTCATGTGGCTACTTCTCTAATCTCCTTTCCTAAGGGCTGCCATCTGCAGGAGGACGTGCACAGTGTTGGGCAGAATAAAGATGCTGTGCACACCCCTGGTCATAAGCGTCCTCCCTCAGGCAGACGGTGTCAGGCCAACGGAAAGCTGCTTGTAAGCTGCCAACATCTCCCCTGTGTCGCACCTCACTCTGCCACTGAAAGGAGTCGCCTCGGGGTTCAGCATGACCATCACTGCACCCCCTTACATGTACTGGGCACTTCACCGGTCACTCAGAGAGGCCTCCCCGTGCTCAGCTCAGTCTTGGAGGCTCTCTGAGCAGGCAGCATGTCCATTTGCCAGAAAAACCCCTGGGCCCAGGTAAACACAGGACAGGGGCATCAGCTGGAAGCTGCTGTGCTGCGGTGGCTTCGGTGCTCTCTGTCCCCATCTGAACGCCTACATCAAGTCCAGGGGAGTCAAAAATCCTCAAAGACAACCCAACATTCACATATTAAAACACCTTCCTTCTGGTGCACAGAGGTGACCTTCATAGACGTGGCCAGCAGCTTGCTGACTAATCATAGCAACACCTCACGTCGTCACCAAGCCGGTGAATTCCCAGATGCTGAGCCTGGGGGACCCCATGCAGGAGCCACCAGACTACCCACAAAGAAAGCATGTTCTGCCTGCCCCCATGGCTGGTGCTGGGAAGACCCTCCCCTCCCTTTCCACCTCCTCCCAGCACCTCTGTAACATGAAGGATTTGGATGCCATGACCTCCAAGGCCCCTTGTGGCATGGCAGTCCTTGAATTCTGTGACAGGTCATTTGTGCATGTCCCCAGGAACAATATCACAGTGACATCTAGATTGGCCAAATCCATTTCACAAGGTAGCATACCTACCATCAGGGTCTTTAAAGGTCAACGTGATGAATTTGCTGGCCACCATGAACATGAAAATCACCCAAAAGCATGCGGCCAACAGAAGCCACTGGTGGTGCATGTTGTCAAATGTCAGCCATTCAGTGATTCTTCCTGGAAAACACAGTGAAATGCACCTGTTGCTTATTGTACATCAATTAAACAAAAAGTGAGATAAAGGACAGATGATTTCGGTTAATAGTATCAATATAAATATTTTTTAAAAGCTTTTTTGATACAGTGGGTATTTTGATTCAGTATTTAACATTTTATGTTTAATTAATAACACCTTATCACTTTGATAATTAAATCCAATTTAAAACCCCTGAATGGAAAGAAGATATTTCTACCTGTTTTGGAATGCATAAGATGTTACTTTTGCAGATTTGCCTCTTGACTCCTTCCTGGCCCAGGCTAACATCAAAATGTGTTT